CTCCTTTTCACCTGTTGGCTGACTGGAGTCCTGTTTGGGTTTCTTCTTTCAGGAAGGCCCAGTTAGGATATCCACATTGCTCTAGAGCCTGTCTTGTGTGGGATTTCTCCTTCTGCCTGGCTCCTGAGTTAGTGGGGACGCTGTCTGCTCTGTGATACAGAGTCCTGATGACTCCTAACTTGTGCTCCAAAGGGTGATGGGAGTCAAACTGCAAATACTGGTCTGTGTGGGTGGGTTTGCGGTACACCTCAGTTTGCAAATGTCCTCTATCAGAGACTGAGACCTCACAGTCCAAGAAAACCAACCTGCCATTTTTTTCATCTTCTCGTGTGAACTTGATGTATTTATCCACAGAGTTGATGTGGTCAGTAAAATGTTGGACTTCCTGAGATTTAATTTGAACCCAGGTGTCGTCAACATACCTGAACCAATGACTTGGTGGTGTCCCTGAAAAGGACGCCAGGTTGGCAACGATGGGAGAAGCTGGACACCCCACAGCACCCCCATGGTTCTGCCTGTCATGTTGCCCCCCATGTGTGAAGTAGGTTGACTGCAGTCACAGGTTCAAGGTCCAGAGGACCTGACTTCACTTTGTTAGATTTTTCTCACATGATTATTCAATTCAAGACAACTTTATTGTTGTTTCCATCACGTGGTACATTTATTTGTATTTTTTTATTCATACCTTTATTTTACCAGGAATCAATCATTGAGATCATCTCTCTTTTACAAGGATGTCCTGAAACATGAGGTGGAACAAAACGGTGTACTCAGGCTCCCAGTTGCACCCAATAATAGCAAAATATAAAGTTTAAAAAGAAACAGTATACAAGGATCGAATGCTAAACAAGTGCCAAACTGTGCACTAAAAGATGTAAGAAATATGCTAAACACTAAGAATGTAAAACAATGCAGTGTAACAACAGCGGCCCGAACATGAGCCTGTCATGAGCAGATGGGTATGAGATAATCAGCAGCATGAGATAATCAGCAGCATGAGATAATCAGCAGCATGAGATAATCAGCAGCATTATTGGGCATGGATCAGGAAGCTTCCATAATATATTTTAATTAAATCTTTATTTATACAGGTTAGTCTCATTGAGCCACGAGGACTCATTTACAAGAGAGACCTGTTCCAGACAGAACATATAAAGTACAGACAACAATAAACTACAGTTAAAATAAGAGTAATAATAATAATAGGCTTAACTTTGTGTTTTATCAACGATTTTATAATCATGATCAGTTATTTTTATATTTTGGAGGCATGCACAAGTTTTAAACTTGTAAAAGTTAAGTTTCCCATCCTTCTTTACTTAGCCGCCATCTATTCTTTTTGTCCTAAAGAGGTTTCCGTAGCGCCGTGCCTCACGCGGTTCTCTCCGCAGGTGCAGTTTACACCTGTCGTTTGGAGCTTACAGCCTGTAAACTTTACCTGTTTTGAATACTTTGGACTGTTTTTGAGTAGAGCCCGGGCTCGGACCTGGAACAAGGAGAACACAGCTCCTGTGCGCCGAACAGGTGCGTGAAAAACAAGCACGTGAAGAAAGTTTGTTATCTCAGCTCCTCAGACTGCTTTTATTTCTTTAAGGAAGCTTCAGTAAAATTCACAGATGCTTTGTTTTTCCTTCATCTTTAAAACATTTAGACAGGGTTAAACTTTACTTTTTGTTCAATTATTAATTGGAGAAACCGTAGACGTTTTCGTGTGGGTCCGCTCCCTTTCTGTTTTACCGGCGCATGAGCCAGCTGAAAGTAGAGGCTAGGCTGCCAGCAGGGAGGAGCTTATTTCTATTTCTCAGGTAACATTATAACTTTAAACAGGAACAGTCTGACAGAGAAAATAACAGATGAACAAAAACACAAAGCATTTATTTAAGAACATCGTCTGACAGTATTTCCATCTGATTGTATTTTGATGATGGCGTTAACGCCCCTTCCTCCTTCAGAGTCAGAGAGGTTTTATTGTCATTTCAGCTACGTACAAGTACACACTGAAAAGAAACAGCGTTTCTCCAGGATCACGGTGCAACGCAGAACATTATGTGCAAAACAATCCAACACAATGTGCAGATACACAACAGAACAAGAAAAACAAAGACATAAATAAATATGTAACATGCAACAAGGCATTAACCTAATCTAAACATTTCAAACTAAACAAGTAAGAGACAAGACTAGAGACTCATGTTGATTAGTACATGTAACATTGTTTAACTGTCTCCTCCTCCTCCTGATATATTTTAACTTGTTTCGGTTGGATCAGAGGAGAGGATGTGGAAACTATATAGTATGTGTCTTTTTTCATCAGTTTAGAAGTCATACTATAGTATGTGTCGTTTTTCATCATTTTAGAAGTCATACTATAGTATGTGTCGTTTTACACCAGTTTAGAAGTCATACTATAGTATGTGTCATTTTACACCAGTTTAGAAGTCATACTATAGTATG